TCATTTTATAGTATGTGATGGCACAAAGGAGACTTGCTAGGTTTACATATATTGATAGAAGGATATATGTAAGTTTCTTTTATTCTCATTAGCTAGACATTATTGGATTTCATAGCAATGGTATATTTGAACTATAATGAAGTGACTTCTTCAGTGATAGCTTATCAGCTATTTTAATTAAGTAAAATATTTCAAGACTGTGTTAAGATCAACTTATATGTTATATACAAAAAAATATGTCCTTAAGTTTTCTCTCTGTATATCCAAATAGGAGTCATTAGATATATTTAATGCTTTGTTGAGTTATATGATTCACAACCATAGCAAAATACATTGGAGAAAATTATCTTTGAAGGGTTTCAATGGTAGTTTAATTAACATACAGTGGACAGAAAGCATACAATCTGTTCAAACAGATGATTCAAAGATCCCTCCTGTTGTGTTCGTTTTCACTGCAGCTGGGAAGGGATAGATTATGTTACATATACTGTTCATCTTGCTCCTGAATGATTTGTTTTGGTGGTGATTTAAAATATTTTCATGAGTTTGAAAACTTGTAAAGTGTATAGGAATAATTCACAGTGTAGATAATTTGGCTATGGGTTTTGCTAGTTTTTCTCTATCTTTATTTCTGTAAAACATCCATTTTTTACTTATCTTCTTTAAAAATGATTCAGAAAAGGAACCAAAATCTAAGCCAATTTTATACTTTAGTCTTGATGAACCAAGTGCTACTGAATAATGAACATATAGGAATGCATCCTTTGTACATGATGGGGCAGTCTTGCTTATTCATAACATAACCAGAGAAAAATAATTATATCTAAAACTAGAGGTCCAGTCTCATGAAATCCGTGCATGGGGAGAGGGGCTGTGTGTCCTTCAGCCCAGCCTTAATCCTCTCCAGTCTGGGACATCCTTTTCACAATCCAGGACTGCTGGCTCCCAACTGCTTGCCTGCCTGCCTGCCTCATTGCCCCTAACTGCTTCTGCCTACCAGCCTGTGCAGCCCCTAACTATTCCCCTGCCAGCCTGATCAATGCCTAACTGCTCCCCTGTCATCCCAATTGTCCCTAACTGCCCTCCCCTTTAGGCCTGGTCCCCCACAACTGTCCTCCCCTGCTGGCCCTGTCACCCCCAACTGCCCTCCTCTGATGGCCTGATTGCCCCCAACTTCCCTCCCTTGCAGGCCTGGTCCATCCCAACTACCGTTTCCTGCTGGCAATTTTGTGGTGGCCATCTGTGTCCACATGGGGGCAGCCTTCTGTGTGTTGGAGTGATGGTCAATTTGCATATTACCTCTTTATTATATAGGAGGATAGCAACCAAAGAAAATTCATGGAGGCCAGCCTCTAAAACTCAAAAAATTTCTCATTAGAAAACCCTCAGGTCCGTCTTTAAATTATGTTTAGTTTTTGTAAATACAATTGGAGGCAGCAAATGATCCATTTTTATCAGCTTACACAGATTAAGGTAGCAAATTTTAGAAGGAGTAAGCCCATCCATGATGGAGACAAACCAATCAATGATTGTATTAACTGATGTAATGGCAAAGCAAGAGAGAAAAATGTTAAAACACAACTGGAAATTAAAAACACCACCACCAAAACAATACCGGTATCTGGAGACTTATCTTTGTAAGTGCTAGAGTAACCATTGATTCTTGCTTCATATGGGAGGCCTACCTGTTGCTTAATTTACCTTTCCCAGTAATCTTAATAATAAAATTTGTGTAGTCACTGCAAAAACAGGAGTTTGACACATTAATGAAGCACCCCAGACTTCAGAGTAAGCAGTGTTAAAGACAATGCTTGACATATTAAAAAACTTAAGTTCACCTGACCAAGATCCAATTCCAAGAGACAGCACCTAACCAGAAGGGGTTAGGAGCACTCCAAGGACAGGAGCTAAGGGGAGAGGCTTTTATGGAGAAAAGGGGGAAGCAAAGTAAGAACCCATTTGATTGCCTATAGCTTAAGCATTTGCTGGATTCAGAAAAGCAGAGTTGGCTGTTTGTGACTGATTGCCTTTAGGTTTGATTTCTTAACCCTGAGGCATTTACAGGCTTAGGTTGGGGTTTGCTAAGTATTAGTAGCACCTCAGTCTAATGGCCTCCTGTTTAATTAACTTCACAGTGGGGAATATGAACTTTATTGTTCCTGAGATTTGATGCTCCCTTTTATTTCTTCTCTTGGGTCAAAAAGCAGGGAGAGAATGAGAAAGGGGACTCAGGGAAGTTGGGAAATGGGATTCCTATGCACACAGCTGCTCCAGGGCTGCTTTTCCACCTGCTCCCTGCCCTGGGCCAGAAACACAGGAGCCGGTGTGACTTATTGGCCAGACAGACATCATGAAAAAGGCTATATTTTGTCCTGTGCTATAAACATCTAAAAAGATAGTGGTAAAATCAATATCAGTTAATTAATATCCAATAATAATACTAAATTAAAAGTAACCCAGAGTTGTTTTGAAATTCTGTTTTGAAGATTTTAATAAAATCTAAGTCTTTGAAGTTTTTGATATATTTTCCCTAATTTACATTTTAGAAGGGAAAAGGCAAAACAACAACTCTCTGTTTGGATCAGCTCCATTTGTGTAATTTTAAAACTATTTATTTGCATCTAGGACTGTTGAATCCATTAACTGCATTGCATTTGCTACACTTCTGGTCTAGGTTAACAATAGAGCAAGGACCCTGTGTAGGTTTTCAGTTGCTCCTCCAGGACTATGTGTATTCAGATGCCCACCCACCTAATGTGAGGCAAATGCACAGCCCTAAAGCTAATATGAGCCCTGTGCTAGGAAGTCCTGATTTGGTTGTTGTAAAACTTTTATTGCTTACTTTTCTTGTAAACTGACTCACATATTTTTAATAATGAGGCAGGATATATAAATAAAGCAAATAAAACTGCTCTCTCTATCTTTGCCTAGAATCATAGGTCTTCCATATCCTCAGGAAAAGCTGCCTACTTCTTCATGTAAAATATTGTCATTCCCATTTAAAATATAGGGAAACTAAAGCACAGGAAGTTTTGTGAACTATTCTAAAACCCCATATCCAGCAAACCTAACAATAAAAAATTCCGCTCTAAAAGTCTCCTGAATCCTTGTACAGTGTTTCTCCTATGAAACAATTCTGCCTAGTCCTGTCATTCTTGCTCCAAAGAAACTATCAGCAATTCATCGGCCTATTTATTCATTCATTCATTCAACAAAAATTTACTGAGCACTCTCCAATGGTTAGTGGGAACAACAGTCTAAAAAAACAAACAAAAAAACCACAAAAAAACAACAACAAGCATTTCCTGCCTTGCTTAGGAGGCTCAGTTGGCTGGAGTGTTGTCCTATGTACCAGAGGGTTGAGGTTTTAATTCCTGATCAGAGTACATACCCAGGTTGCTACAAATTCGATCCCCCATAAGGGTAGAGGCAACCAATGGATGTTTCTCTCTCACATCTATGTTTCTCTCTCTTCCCCACTCACTTTCTCTCTAAAATCAATAAATATCCTCGAGTGAATATTAAAAAAAAAGAATCATTTCTTGCAGTGGAGGGTGGGAGGGGACAGTAATCAACCCTTTTTGTACATGAGCTTTTGCAGCCTTACAACAGTTCTATGAATTGAACATAGTGCTACATTTTTGTGGCATTTCTGGAGTTCTTGGTCATTTTCATTCTCCATGGTTCTTTTAAATCCTATCATTCTATGAACCCATAGAAAAGTCTACATTACCCACCCGATGGTAGTGTTTCTCTCCTAGCTGTATCCACTAAAACATCAGGCAGTAGGAGATCTTTTAAGTTCATGATGAAACCAAAGAATAGTTCTTTGTCAAGAAGAATTATCACCTTTGTTTGAGTTGAAAGGGAGATATTTTATACTGTTTTCCTATGATGAGCAGTAGCCTTACCTAAGTTATTAGAGTTCTGAGTAATTGATTCAATGGTGTTATAAGCCACATTAAACACATTTTGGTTTCTTGGAATGTTCTTGCATTGAGAGGAACATCACAGCTATGATTCAATCACTGCCCTCGTAAGCTCTTTTTGAAGCCATATCCTGCCAGTTATAAAGGCTGTCATTTCATATCTTTTAGTAATAGTTGTGTAGAAGAGGGCTGTTCTTCCTAGCCGGAAACTGAATTTCTCAGACTTGTGGTATCCCTTCCCCTGCTGACCTACAGAAATGAAAGGCTAGAACTAATGATTAAATCTAATTTCCCCTCCTATAGTGGCTGGATGAGCTGGGTCAGCAGGGACTGTCCCTGCAGATAGCTTTAAAACACCTTTGTGATTTGATCCCCTTGCCTTTCATTTCATTTCTCTAAGTGCCTATCACTGCCATTCTTTACCACCACAGCAAGTTTCTAAGGTAAGAACAGCACAAGTGAACTAGGGCATTTATGATGCCTCCTGAGAGCGTTGCTGATTAAATGAGTTAGGCAGTGAGCCCAGTTTGACTTGTGAGCTACGAAGCAGGTTAGCACATATAAACAAAGATCATTCCATGTATTATTTAAACCATTCAAACACATTGTTGTCTCTCTGCTGTTCAGCATAATTCATGTGAAAGGAATATTAGTTCACACGTTAATAATGTCTGACTTTTATATTCAAATGGACTGAGAATCACTTGGTTTTCATTCCTTTGTCTGGATTCTAGCTTGTCTTCTCAGAGCAACCGGGGAATGTTTATGAAGTGTGTTGTGGAAGGTGGGGAGGGAAGGGAATAAAAATACATTGCCTTAGGGCTACACATCTGTTTTAGAGACTCCGCTGGGTCTTCACAGTAACCACTGTCAGGACTTATAATGTGTCCTAAAATTGCATTCTACTCAGAGATGTGCATACCAACTCAAAATAATACGATTAAACAGATTCACTGGTATGAGCTAGTTCTTTATTTTCATGACTAGCAGATAGTTTTCCTACTTCAGTTGCTAATATGTGTATGATTCATAGCAAGGAAGTAATTCGTTGTTTTATTTACTTTCAAACAGACTGGCAATATCAAGTTGGGCAGGCCTTCCCGCAAGCAGGAGAGGAGATAGAAGTAGACACACATTCCTTCAGCCACAGGTGGAAAAGGAACACAGATCCGCTCAAGGCCTTGGACACCAACCGAGCCAGTTTGGGCCAAGACTCCCCGGAGCCCCGAGGCTTCACAGACCTGCTGCTGGACGACGGGCAGGACAATGCCACCCAGATCGAGGTAAGCAACCTGAGTAGCTGAAATGGATTAATGCGTACAGTTATGGCAAGGCACCTATATCTACATACTGTCATTTCAAACCAACCTAGAACTTTTGGACCTTTTTTTTTTAAGATCAATATAATTCATTGATAAATAATTAATTTGTTAATATTCAGTAATCCAATAATAAACTATTATATTAAACAAATTAAGTAAGTAAATAAATAAATAGGTAACCCATTTCATCACCTGCAAGTTGATTTACTCATGAAACAGACAAGCATGGACTTGGTGTGGTGAAGACAGTGAGGGGACCACAAAGCTGAGGACAATACAGTACCCGTCTGCGGGGAATGTGCTGTGGAACAGGGTCTACTCGCCATTGTCAAGTCATTCCTATGCCCTGAGATATGGAGGAGGGAGTGACCATCTGCCTGGGCCTAGGAGGTAGGCTGCTGTCAGAGAAGTGAACTCTAGAGGTGGGCTTTTGGTCAGAACCTTGGCAGGTGGAGAAGAGCCCACCAAGTGACATGGGCATTGGGGAGAGAGAAGAATCTGGCAGAGAGCTGAGGGGTCCAGGACTGGGGTCTTTCTGGCTTGTAGGACTTTCCATGCTAAAAATAGGACAGTTCTGGGATAATTGAGATGGTTGGCCACTCTGACTGTAAGGAATTCTTTATTATGGGTGGAGCCATGAGGTGGAAGGGGAAGGGAAAGGGAAGGGGTTGGTGATGGGTTTGGTGAGTCTGGAAGTTTGCTGAGGGTATATTTTAGGTAGATTTTTAGGGTTACCCAGAGGCCTCAGTCCTTAACATTGCAAATCATAAAATATGATCTTGTTAGTACACTAGATATAACAAAAATAACACTTATGGATGTGAGCAAAAACCACCTAAGTGAGAAAGGAAGCTGTTTTGTTCAGTTTGCAAAAGCAAGGGAGCCAGCCTCCATCACTTGCCTTTGGTGGAGACTCATAAATAATAAAAGCGTGGGAAAGGTTTTCAATTAAAAAAAGAGAAATCGTTACGTACTGGTAAGCTCTGATTGGTGGTTGTTGGCCTGGAGAAGCTAGAGGCGGGCTATTTAAAAACAAAACACTTCCTTTGATTGGTTGGGCGACCATATGTGGCTCTCTGTGGTTGGCCCTGAGTTGGACCAGTTGCTGCCACGCTTCTGTTCTGGCTCCCGGGACTGGTTGCTCTCTAGAGGATGGGGTCAGGGTTCTGTTGTCACCCATGGTCTGACTGCTGTCCACTCCTATATTCTCTTTCAATCTGAAGTTTTCGTTTCTACTTTCTCCCAGGTGACAAGCGTAATACTTTTTAAGGACCAGGCACCATTCCTTTTTACTGCTGTGAACTACTCATTATTTAGGGTAAAAGCTCAAGTTCATGAAATAGATACAACGTAGTTCTGCCAATTGTATCAAGGCAGCACTCGCTGCCTCATTAGCGAGAGGACGTTTCAGAAGATCTGAAGCACAGGCCAGTGGCCTTCTGTGTCTGTGGGAAGCCCAACAATTTTCAAAACCCCTCTCCATCTCCTTAACTAGCATGTGCCTCTGGTGGCCCCGGGCTGCCTCAGCCAGGACTTTTCACAGGCCACAGAGGGTGTGCCAGGAGCAGGAGTCGCACAGCATGTCTCAGAAGCTATTTGGCTCCTGCGGGGTGCCTGCGATTTTGGCAACTATGTTGTTATAGCAACTCAGAGTAGGCAACATGATTCTTCCCTGAGAAGCTCTGCAGCTGGGGTGCAACTTAAAGGAAGGAGAGCTCAGCAGAGGCTTTTACTCTCTGCGCACAGCCGCACCCACTGAGAAGGCAAGAGCGGGCACAGGTTCCAGAGCTCTGTGATCTGCGTGCAGGATGCCAAGTCCCCCCTCATCTCTTGTAAAATTGAAAGGCCCTTTGCTCCGGGATGTATGAACACTCCTCAAAATACAGCCCTGGAGTGATTATAGTTCTGATTTTGTCAGTCAGCCAATTTTTCCTTTTTTTCTGCTCTAACAAAGGGAAATCTCATAATGTCAGTGATGTTGAATCGGTGAAAAGAAAAAGGAAGGATGTGGCAGGAGGCTGTTTGCTGGGTGCTCCAGCAGCAGACCTGCCAGGTGTTGCATGGGTATTGTTTTCCTTAGTCCTTGTATCATCCTAGGCCCTGGGGCAATGGGCACCCCAGGCTCTCTGAGCAATCTCAGTGACTCACCTGAGGGCAGTTTCAGGTTTAGTGTTTCAGATCTAGGTTTAGTGCTTTTAATAAGGACTCTCATTAATAAGTAAAGACTCGGGAGCTGGCATTCAAGCTCTGGCATTCAAGCTCTCTACTTGACTTGGCTTCCTGTAATATAGAAGGAACAGTAAATGGCACTTGGATTATGGGAGGATTTTGGATAGTGGCAGCTCCCAGACAGCAATATGAAAGCAGCCTTAGAGTTTCAGTCTGGCTGAAAGGGGACTTACCTTGAAATTAGATGTTCACAGGAATAGGACTCCCTCTATTTGGAGAGTTTATTTAGTTTGATGGCATTCTGGGGACTGATGAAGATTATTGGGGATCTGATGCCCTGTAAATTATCTCTTGGCACTGCCACTAACTCTGGAAACCCAGAGCCTGCATCTGAAACTTTTCTGCCAAGTTTATTTATCCTGGCCCTTGAAATAGTATTTTTGAACATTGTTGCCTCTCTTTTTGGGGACAATACTTACCCTGGATTGAGGTAAACAGGAATAAAAAAAAGAAATGAACCCCAGTGACCACTCTGTGCTGGGCATGGGGGCAAGATCTTCCTTGTCTGTTAGGAATAAGCATTTTGCTTTCTATAGCCGATTGCAAGCAATAGCATGAAAGACTGTGTGCTTTTTCCTTTAGATGCTTCCACAGTCGATGTCAGGAACCAGAATCACTTTGCCAGAGAGCCCTGGCTGTACTCGGAGTTCTTAAAATAATTTGTATCCTGTTGAGACTAAAACCACCCATTAGGTATTCCTGTGTGTGTCCTCACTTCTGCCACGTCTAGACTTTAAATCCCACTTTCACTAAACAAAAACAAAAGACAATGGCATATTCACTATTTTGGCATAAATTCATTATGAAACAAAGACTGTTACTCTCTTAAATTGGTGACAGTATTTTTTCTGGCCCTGCACAAGAACAGATAATGGTGGGATTATAGAACCCACTATCCCAGCTAAAGAATTCTTCCAATTGAACTTTTTTGTTGTTGCCATTGTATTTTGTTGTTTTTCTTTTTTTAAAATATTCTTCTGGTGAAGACATAAAGATGTCTTGAAATTTGTACATGTTGAGCCAGCAGGGACTCAACAGTGAGTGAATGCCACTGTTGATCTGAATGTTGGATCACATGAGACTTCCTTCATGTAATTTCTCTGATTCTGTGGACATGTAACTACATAGAACAGGTCCTTGTTATGATTTGTCGGTATTGGGAGTGTGATATCACGGGAAATCATTCCTGTGCTCCTTTTTGTGATTCCTTTGGGATTTTGAAGGCTTCCAGGACTTTCAGGTAAAGTATAATCCCATCCACACTCAGCCTTGCTTGAGCAGCCTTCAGTGAACCCCATGACCTCACAGACACACACAGGCATGAGCAGTGCGGGTATCATCACCGCACCAATGGCTGCCCAGAGAACTCATAGCATCAGAGGTGCCTTAAAGAATCCAGAGGGCCTGAGCGGTCGGTGGTCCCTGTTTGGTGAGAATCGCTGAGTCTCATAAAGCTCACTTGTATCATCTTGTTCCTGTGTGATGGGGTTGGTAACTTATTATTCTTCACTTGACATAAATCAACCCTGAATCTGTGACCATGGGTTATGCATTTATGCATATAAATTCTTTGGTTAATCTTGGAAAAGGATTATTAAATGTGATTTTTCTTTCTTGATTAAAAAGCACCTGGATGACTTGAAGAAGGGAAGATTTAAAAGCAGGGCTTATGGATTGTACTAGTGTAAGTGCAGCTTTGTGATCCAAACTGACTCAGAAATTGTAAGCCTAACCAGTGCTTCTCAGGTATGCAGCTGTGTCTAGACCACAGGCCACACTTCAAGTTACAGGGAGTCAGAGTATCACGTAGATTTACCTGGTGGTTTTGAGGATAGAAAGGTTCCAAAAAACCTTAGATTAAATTGAGTTGCTTACCAACGATGTGGTAAGCAGCTCAATTTAATGGATTCATCATTTTGGTACCAAATTAGAAACTGCAGGTTATCTTGAGCAATTCTTGCATCATGCGTGTTTCTCTTATTTGAGGAGGTGCTATGGAGAAGTGTCACCAAATATGTGTGATAATTGTAGCTAAAAACTAGAGCTCAATCATTTTTCTCTTAACTGCATACAGAAAAACTATCCAATCTTCTGTTGTGGTCTACATTTGTCCATGTGTCTGCATCTTATTTTTTCAACTTGCACAATTGTTTTGTTGTTGTTTTTTAAAGTTAGCAATTGCTAATTGGTGCACACATCATTATTGTGTGTGTTCTAATATTTTATTGCACTTTCTCACAAGGTAATGCATTTGAAAGGAAAGGAGTCACTGTCAAACGCTTAATCTAAAAAACGAGTGTGGTTACTTTGATTGTTATAAAGAAAAAGGCAAATTCCACTGTGTGCCATCTGGGCAGAATGTCCATAGTATGTTTTCAATATAGAGAATATATCAGAATATTCTCAGTAAATGAAAATCCTACTGCTTCTGTGTCTCAGAGATCTAATGGCAACAATAATGAGTAAAAATGTAAGGTAGTAATAAAACACATTATCCCATTTCACAGAAAGAGAGTAATGGAAATTTGCAGAATACTGCTGTCCTGATTCTTTCCAGGCCACTATTCTGTTTAGTGATCTCATAAAAGAGAAGACTTTCATCTGGGAAGAATGTGACCATGCACATTTGTGATTTTTTTTTTCTTCAAAAGAAAAAAGTACCACTTGATACTAAACAGCTCTGTTACTATCCTATATAATAAAGAGGTAATATGCAAATTGACCCTCTCACT